CCAAAAACATGCATGTTTTTGGTCTGTGGGAGGAAACCGGAGTACCCGGAGAAAACCCACGCATGCACGGAGAGAACATGCAAACTCCACCCAGAAAGGCCCCTGGACCGGGGTTTGAACCAAGGACCTTCTCGCTGAGAGGCAGCAGCTCTACCAGTTGCGCCACCGTGCTGCCCCAGAAACATTCATATTTTAAAAATAATAATTTAACATTATTGATCAGAGGAGCAGACTGCTTCCATCACATAACTCTCATCTTGAGCAAACAAGAGTTTTAAACTGGTATAGACACACGAAGAAAAGTGCATTGATTTGTTTGTTATTAACAGATATTTCTGTGCGTAACCTTGCTTGGTATTGTGTCTAGTCTAAGTGGCTGACACTTTTATTATGAACTAAATAATGATTTAAGGCAGAATAAGGGAGGGGAGAACAGCCCCCGGGCTCTCAGAGTGTGAACTTCAGGAAGCTGTGTCTTCTCTTATTACATGTCATGTCCTAAACTGGCTGACAGACAGGTATCTGTGAACCAATGAAGGCATATTCACACCTCTGCTTTAAGTGGTGCACCACAGACACCACATTATGTGTTGAGGATTATCAGCATGATTAACAGGATATCTGACCTTGAGACAATAAATGAGAGACTGAGGATGGAACGCTTCACTGTCTGTAATTAAACCACTGTCTGTGTGATCCAATTTATTTCATTTGCTCTGATTGTATTCAAGGAAAGAATGATATTTTCTATGGTGCAGTATGAGAATAGGCTAGACAAATATTACAAGATTAAGTGATGTGTCTGCGTTTTACAATCCACTTGTATAAATTTATCACCAATGCTCTGAACTTTTACATGAATGTTTAGCATAAGACAAATATTTGGCTCATTGGTTGTGATTTGCTTAAACACACAAAGGATGCAGAATGTCACAAATGTGGTAACTTTTACATAAAAAAACCAAAATGAAAATATCTACAGTTGACTACAAATATCAAAAGAAAACAAGCTTGTGGGGAAATTTAAGTTGTACATTTATGATTTTTCTAAATGGGCTTTTATATTCCCAAAGTCAACCCTATTTATTGTGTTACTGCCAACGTTAGTGGGGAGTGGTGGCGCAGAGGTTAGAGAAGGTGGGCCTGTGATCGGTTCACACCCCGGTACCGACAACATAAAAAAAATGTGGGTGGGGTAGGTGAAGCACCCACACATGCCCCAACCCTCATTCGCCCCACTCTGGGCCCCTGAGCAAGGCCCTTAACCCCCATCTGCTTCCTGAACAGGTCTCTCTTGAAAATGAGTTCTCGTGGCTCAATGAGACTACCTGGATTAATAAAGAGTATATGAAAAAAATATAAAAAATTAATATGAAATTATATCAATTGGCTATTTGAAAAACACATTTAAATACAACATGTATAAATACAACAGAGATATAAAAGAACAACACAAACAAAAAATATAATTGTGCCAATAAAAAATGTTGTTTGAGATTTTTTTTAGAGATAGTAATTATTTAAAGCAGTGGTTCTCAAACTAGGGTCCCCAGACACCCAGGAGTCCACAATCGGGTGCTTGGGGGGTCCACAAAAAAAATAAATAAATTACAAGCACGTAGATGTTTAACAACCAGTTAAAATACATCAAAATGCAGGAGATTGCATCTACTTTATTCAAATTTTCAGGGGGAGGAGCCCTAGACCCCGCCCACTATTTGCGTTTCAGCATAGATCTGTTTACAAATTAAGCCCTGTTACTTGGTGACTGCTGCTGTTATGATTCTGTTCAGTTTCATGTAAAGAGTTTTCTGTAATAATTTGAAGAAATGGCGATACATTTATGTTCATTATGTGAATAGGTAAAGTTTTAAAATGTTTTTTTGATTCTGTTAATTTTCTCAAAACTGTAATTTTTGAAAGTTGAATTATTATTTTGTTTGTTAATTAATTGTGTCTTGAATGAAAAATTCCCCATGTTGAAAGTATAAAAAAAAATCTATAAACACTATTATAGAACAGGTCTTAAGTATTTATGTTACACAAATATTTCCAGTGGCTTAAAGAGACAAATTAAAAAAAATTATTTAATAAACATGAGAGTTATGAGGGAGTTTTCTCCACTGTAAGGGGTCCCTGAATCCAAAAAGTTTGAGAACACCTGATTTAAAGTAACACACTATAATACAAGCACTGATTGCTGACGTACAGGTTCATTGTAGGGGCGAATTCTTGAACCGAAGCCCTGATATGGAGTTAAATATTACGTATTAATAACATGGTACAACTTTAATGAAGTTACACACACGTGGTGACAATGTGCATTTGTTGTGATATGAGAAAATCATTTAAATGACGTGTTGTTTGATTAGTGTGAAGAGTGTGGGATGAAGTTCTCTGCTAATTCTCTTTAGCAGGGGCTGGATACTCCTACTTCCATTTGGCACGTCTGCTGTCAGTAACGGGACACTTATCAGAATGGAAATAATCTCAACACTTGTCAGCAGTTGTTGACCCTCCTTTTATCTCTTAACCTTTGAAGGAGCACTGACCGTACTGACCGCCTGTGCTGGTATAAATAATTGCGTTGTATGTTGTGTAAGTTGTGACAGAGGTGGGAACTGAAACAGAACTCAGCAGTTTGATTAGGTCATTCCTGCCAAGCCAGAGATATTTCTGTGACTGACCCCAGCGATCAGCTACAGTTGATCCAACACACAGGCAAGAGCTGAACCCCAGAAAGCCTCCATGACTGTTTTCCTCAGTCAGTGCAAGCTCTCCACAAAAATCTCACACCGTTATCTTTGTCTGCAAAAACACAGCGCCATGTTAACAGGCCTGTAAGTGAGGGGCAAGCTCTTCTAGCTGCAGCCTGACCTTGGCATCACATCGAGGCTCAGCATGGTGCTCAAACCCTCAAATGCTCGTCATATTTATTGCCTTTCAGTGCATCTCAAGTATGTCACCTGTGGTGGACCTTTGTCTGTGCTGCCTAGCACATGTCGCCTGTGTAATCTTGCAGACTAATGCTCTGTTTTTAGACCATCTCAGTCAGTGTTTGACAGCTGTTTTTGTTACCATTAAGTCTATTCTGTGACAATTAGACACAATATGTTACTCATGCCTGACTAAAACTCCTCTTGAAGCCCTGAGACTAATGAGACCCATGACAGTTCTCTAAAATATCTCCCCAAATATGGTGCCCATCTGTCCTTGTGTTTAAACAATACCAATAGTCCACAATACATTCTAATAATAGCAACACATGTCAACAATAAAATGATTATTTATATTATTTAATCCAATATAAAAACAAAATATAAATAATAAAAAATAATGTAAAAATTAAAAATATATTCAGCAGGTTTTCAAAAACAAATTCATATTTTGATAATTAATCTGGTTTGTTTGCTTCTCCATTAATGTTTCTTCATTGTGTTAACGAACACTGGTTTTATTGTTTGATGAGCAGATAAGGCCAAGAAGAAGGAAAAAAAGATTTATAAAACAAAATAAATTTAATTTCTTTGTTTGTTGTAAATGGTGGTGTCACTTGGTAGTTTGTTAACTGATTAAAAAAAAATTTTTTTTGAACGTTTAAACAACAAAAAAAAACAACAACAAAGTGCAGCCTGATGAAAAATAAATGGTGTACTGATAAATTTTAAGAAAAAAAAGTTTTACACGTGGATGTTTTGCGGACCATTACATTTGCAACAAGGCTTTAAAATAAAATACAACGTAAAGACATTTTTGTGTGTTAATCTGAAGTCAAGATGCCTCTCTCTGGTTCACGTTTTTATAGTAACAAACACAAGCTTAATGGATAATGATGGAGGAATTCCTGCCTCTGTCTATTTAAAGACTGTGGTCTCCTGGATGCTCGAGGATACCTATGGTTAATCTCCGCACCACATAAAGCTCCTAATATGGCCTCAACCCATCACTGATAAAACCCTGACTCACTGATTTCTATATTGCTCTCTCCAACTCCGTAAACCCTCCCCTAAAGAACCCCCTACCAAATGGACACAATAACATTCCTGGTCCTAATGCACCCGTCCATTTATGGTTGAGGGGCTTTATTTAAAAAGGGACCTCACAGAGAAGCCCCCAACAGGTCACCATTCTATCTCAAGGTAAGGCATGAAGACAATGAGTGTTAAACACCAGACTTTGATACTGAAGCTTCATTTGTGTTGGAAATGTTCAATATTTTGTCTTCCTCAGGACCAGTACACCTCATTGTTGCAGTTGGGGTTGATAAGGTAAGAGCACCTCAAAACTAGATACAAAGAAAAGAAAGAATAAAGAACTACTCCATTAAACATTATGGAGCAATTGTTTTCTGTTGACAGGGTGAAAAATGGGTGACGCTGCCATGAAAGAGTTTGGGGCAGCAGCCCCGTACCTGAGGAAGTCAGACAAGGAGCGTCTAGAGGCCCAGACTCGTCCATTCGACATGAAAAGGGAATGTTTTGTTCCTGATCCGGATGAGGAGTATGTGAAGGCTTCAATCATCAGCCGTGAGGGGGATAAAGTCACTGCTCAGACGGAGAAAGGGAAGGTCAGTAAACTGGAAGGCAAGGTGCTCATGGTTTCTTGATAGCTTCCTTGTTACACAAATAAAATAAAACAGTCTGCTAATAAAAAACTAAATTCAATTCTCAGACCGTCACTGTGAAGGAGTGTGATGTACACCCTCAGAACCCACCC